GTTTTACCTCACAACTGGGGACAACACCCCCCCTAGGTTTGCAAACCCTTTTTACATTCTTTATTTTTTCATTATTTTTACTTTCTTTAAGTTATTTTTTTTTAATTAATTTAATATTTTCATAATATATAAAAAACACCAAAAAAAATCAGAAAAGATAAAAAAATAATAAATATTTTTATTTTAGTATTTTTGTAAATAAATTGCATTAATTCATTTTAGTTATTAAATTAGGTTTAATGGTAATATTTTCCTTAATAAAAACCTAAAATTGGTAGAATTAGGGTTTATAATAATTTTTATCCCTTTTTCTTTTCTTTCATAATAATTAAATATTTCCTATTATTTATTTTTATAATTAAATGGCATGTAAATAATTAGGTTAAATATTAGGTTAAAATTTAATCTTTTCTTAATAAACTAAAAACAACTAGAATTAGGGTTAGCATTTTATTTTAATTAACTTTTTTTTTCATTAAAATCATAAAGTACAAAAATACCAAAAAGACAATTTCCTTTCCTTTTAATTTTATTAATTTAATAATCGTTTAATTTAGTTTCATAAAAAAAAAGGGTCCAACGCCCTCGTTTTTAATTCTTATTTAATTCGCGTGTTTATTTCTTTTTTCGTATAATTTTTTATGTACCTCTCCCGAAGCCATGTAATTAACTTCTCGCACTTTACTTTACATTATTTCTTTATTTTTCTGTCAAATCGGGTTCTGGAAATTTTGGCGATGTGAACCCGCGCCTTTTGTAATAGCTTTAGAACTTTTACTTTTCGCAATTTTTAACTGCTAAATCAATGCATGCAAGAATGAATGGACAAAAATAAAAATAAACGCGTAGCTCACCAATAACATGAACAAGACAAAATAACTGAACATGACACACAAATCACACACCACCCCTAGGGTACGCCTCACTGTTGCCTTGCCTCGAAAGGTGATCGTCGAGTAGAGGATGTCTTAGTAAGTCCTCATGATCCGGGAACCTGGCATGAGGGTAGCTTCTAAGGTGTCTTCCCATTGCTCTGGTGATCACCATGTCCCGAACCTCGAATTGACCCGAACACCTCCAACGGTGGTGCTACCTACCTCTCAATGGTGGGATGGCACTACTTTAAAGGACATTTACACAGACGAATTCCTTAGGGTAGGTAGACGACTCGTGGATACTTGCTCTAATTCAAAACAAATCAAAAACTTCTTTTCACATCGACACTTTTCAAAAAGCTTTCAAAAACAACTTTTCAAACACTCTTGAGGACTGATACAAGAGTCGAACTGAAATCTTAAACGAAACTTTTTTCAAACCCAGTCACCTTGAAAAGCAAACAAACACTTTTGAAAACACAATGAGCAAGTATCTAAGAGCCCATGGATAACCATAGATAGAAAGGGTGCTAACACCTTCCCTTTCTATAATCTACCTCCCGAACCGAGAGCAATCTCTATAAGGAATTTTTCTGTGCTTTTGTCCTTTCCATTTGGAGAAAATAAAAGACGGTGGCGACTCTTGCTTACCGCGACATTTCGCGAACCAGCGTTAAACAGTCAGTTCCAGATCCACCGATCACATACACCAATACAAAAAAGTCTTAACCAACTTTTTAGTAAGCAAACTAACATTGAAAATACATAGAGTTGAGAATAAAATCACCATACCAATCCTCAAATGAAAATAAAATTAAAGAACTCATTTTGTTACACAATTTAAGAATCAGAACATGGAAAATTGATTTCAACACATGATTTATTCGATTAAACAAAAACCGGTAGTAACTATAACATGTTATGAATGCTCAATAGTTTCAACTCAAGAAGATTCGAAACAAAATGGGAAAGCACCCGATGTCACAACCATGCGAACTTTCGAATTTAAATCAAATTATACAATAAAGTTGTCTGAATCTCAAAGCAACAGTAAAAGATGAATTTCTGCTCTATGAATGGTTCTCGACTATATCTTATGCGAATAACGCGGCATAGACATCAAGCCGTCATTGAAACCAAAATGAAATCAAACTATCACAATAAAGTGGCACCGTAACCAAATTAAACCTTGAATTCATAACAACATGCATCAAAATCTCTTTCAAATTTTTTCACAATAAGTGACTCAACATTGAATTCAAACCCGAAACTCTAACAAATAAAACAAAACAGGTAGCCCCAATAGTTTCCCGGTTAGTTTATACATGAATAAACGCGACATCAACATCCAACCTTCATTGAAACTAAATAAAATCGGATAGCCTAACAGAGTTTATATCACTAATTAATCAAACTTATAAACAGGTCACATGTTTTGTAGAAATGTAGAAGGACATATCTATAAATGTAGAAGGAAATGAATACCTATAAATGTAGAAGGAAATATTGAACCAAGCTTAACAAAATCAAATGTTGGTGAAACGGTTGATAGAAGTCCTACAAGAGAGTCTAAAAAACCAAATGTTATGAACCAAATATCCAAAGAACCATAGCAGTAGTAGAGATAGGAACAAGGGAAACTTACCTTGAGATACGGTGGAGGACGGCAACTAAGAGACGGAGGAAGGAGGACGGTCAAAGGAATAGAGGAAGGAGGGCGGCCGGAAGGAAGGCGGTATTGGAGACGGAAGGGCGAAGAGAAAAGTGTGAATAGAAACGAGTTATGTTAATAGAAACGAGTTCTGGAGGGATTCTATTTTTTAATTCTAATTATATGACTTTAGACAGCGCTTTTGAGAAGCGTTGGCTAATATGGACCTTTAGCAGCGTCTTTAAAATTTTTTTTTTATATTTATATGACTTTAGACAGCGCTTAGGAGAAGCACTGGCTAATGTGGTCCTTTACCAGTGCTTTTTTTAAGCGTTTTCTAAAGCAACCCTTTTAGCAGTGCTTTTAAGATATTTTTTTTATATTTATAAGACTTTAGACAGCACTTTGGAGAAGCGCTAGCTAATATGGTCCTTTACCAGCGCTTTTTAAGTGCTTTCTAAAGCAACCCTTTTAGCAGCGCTTTTCAGAAGCGCTGCTAAGGTCGACCTTTTAGCAGCACTTTTACTTATTTTCATATACAGTTTCTGTATTTTATTTTTCAATTTATTTATAGCAGTGATTTTGTATAAAAGCGATGTCTAAAGGCTTTTTTGGCGTAGTATAGGAAAAATTACACAGAAATCCTATAAATTAAATTTTTTTAACAGTTTACCTCCTTGATAACACCATTAATTTTTCCTTTAAGGACTACCTTGTTGGTCTTTCTAAGATAGGTTTGGAAGATTTCTCCAAGTTTGAGTTTGAGTACTTGGATAATGATTGTTCTATTGATGACCACCCTGGTTATTGAGAAGATCTAACAACTCCATGTGTACGTCATCAGTTAAACAATATTCAAAATTAATTGTGAAGTGAGATCCTCCCACAGTAGATAGCCTATGTTGTTCATTTAGTGAACTTGAGAAATCTTTGGTTTATCCAAATCAGTGTTGCCATTCTTCTTTCCACCTCGGCTGTCACCTGGTCTTTAAATTGTTCATATCAATGGGGCTTTCTTTAGTAATAGAACACTTGTTATACATCTCCAACTGCTTATTTGTAGCAATAGTTTCGATGATTTTTATATTTTGAGAAGAGGTTTTGAAGCTTGAAGAACATTTAACTGTTCTATCAAGTGTCTATTTTGTTTTATATAAAACTATATGTTTTGGTTTGAGTTAAGACCATTATAAAATATTTTTTGTTTAAATAGTCTATTGATCTAGCAAGTTTTTATTTTTTTTTCCTTTATTTTCTTTAAAGTTATTAAATATTGAATTTTATTTAATTTTAATCTTTAAAATTAAAATCGGCTGAAAAAACCATAAATTTTCTACGGATCTTTCTTTGAATTTTCTTGTGGATTTAATTTTAGAGACTAAAAATAATAATTTAATATTCAAGAATTATTTTCAAAAAAAAAATACAGAACAAAAAATAAAAATTCACCAACTTATATAAATTAAAAGACTATTTAAATCAATATTTTTTACATTTTACACATTATATTTGTTTTTCTTTACCCCGTTCTATCTCAATGACAAGAAGTTTAATAAGTTATATTTTTTAATGACGATTGTTATTTATCAATGAATTTTGGTCTAATTTCCCTAATTTATACTTTATCTTTATCTTTTAATAAACGTTAGTGAAGTATGATTAAGTGATAAGTTAGAGATGTTAACTTATTTGAATGTCAACACTTATAATTTTTAACTTTATTCATTTATTTTGATTTTATTTTACTTTGTCATCTGATATTCCAATTTTAAAACTACAAAATTGATGAATTGATAAAAGTGAACCAACCCTAGTGTTTAAAAAATAAAACTTCATTCTCTCCTTAACTTCTCTTTCATTTTTCTTTATGTAAAGGCGAGAAAGGAAGAAAGACATTTCTTCTTGTGAGATTAACATTAGCATGCTGTATCAGGTTGGAATGTAGCAATGTTATTTTTAATAAACAAGTGGCAAACTCTATTGAGACAGTGGAACACATTAAACATCTATTATTATGGTTTATTATTTATAGGAAAGGTCATAAATTGAAATTGCTTTTTTTTTAGGATTGGTGATTGGATATAATTGTTTTGAGTTTTCATTATCATTGCTTTAATAAAACATTTGCTTATTAAAAATAGTTAAAACTATAATAACATATATGGAAACAATTTATAACTTTTATCTTAATAAACAATAAAGTTTATATATAAATAGTAAGCAAAGGTGCAATAAATTGATCGCTACTCTTTTTTAAATAGTAAAATTAATCCTCTTAAAAATCAATTCACTTATTTATATTTGAAAAAACTTCAAATGCTTAAAATATAAATGTAGATGGTGATATTTTTCTGTTTACTCATACATGGTGATGATTTTATTAATTATTCTTAAAATTTGAGTTGAATGTAACTCAACCCTTATAAAGTTATACTACATCACATAGCTTAACTTTCTTGAATCTAAGTGAATCCTTATTTACAAGGAGTGCCTGTAACAGCACTTACAGGATAAAGATTGAAGGGTGTATCCCAAGCATATGCAAATTGATCAGCATCATTTCCACTCAATGCATGACCATTATATAAGAGACAATTATCACCTCTCTTTAGAAGAATTGTACTGTCAACAGGCATTGTACTTTGAAACCCTTGACAATTCAATATTATTTGGCTTAATGGACAGTTGCACTTGTTAACTATAGTTACCCTCCATTGAGTTTTTCCTCCTATTTTTGCACCAGTCATTTTTGTGATAATCAAAAGGCTGTTCAATGGACATTGAGCATAGCTTCCTGAAAATTATTTTCGACAAAAAACTAAATTACTAAATGTGCATGTTTGTCCATAAATTCTAACTCAACCCAAAAAGCTGATATTAATAGGTTGGGTTATTTCAACTTTGTTAATGGACAAAATTTTAGTGATTATTACTATTTTGTTATTCAAATTCAAATTTTAGTGGTTATTATTATTTAATTAATGGACAAATTCTTTTTGCATGTTTATATGTATTTGTCAATTGAAGTAATTATGAAAGCATACCTGTGATGAGAAGAGTAAGGAAGATGATGGAAATAAGATCCTTGCAGGCGGTTGCCATGATCTTTGATGTTTAATTTGAAATAAGTGTCAAAGCTTGAGGAACGAATAGTACATATATATAGTGTTTTGTATTGGAGTTTCTCGTTAATAAAATGGTAGAAACATAGTTAAATATCTTTGATACTCACTTTTTCTTTTAATACTTTTTCCTAAATGTCATAAATTTAATTTTAAAATTTTAAAGAATATACATATACATATTATATTTATTATAAAAGACAAAAGAATATATATATATATATATATATATATATATATATATATATATATATATATATATATATATATATATATATATATATATATATATATATATATATATATATATATATATATATATATATATATATATATATATATATATATATATATATATATATATATATATATATATATATATATATATATATATATATATATATATATATATATATATATATATATATATATATATATATATATATATATATATATATATATATATATATATATATACTTTTTCTAAATGTCATAAATTTAATTTTAAAATTTTAAAGAATATACATATATATATTATATTTATTATAAAAGACAAAAGAATATCATATACATATACATATCATATATTTTGTTTCAAAGTTTATATATGACATCTGTCTCTTAAGTAAATATTTCATTTATATGTTTTTATTTTATTCAAAAAATATTATTTTAGAATATTAATTTATATTTTTTATTTTCCATTTATATACTTTTCATTATTGAATTTTATTTTATTTAATTATTCTATTAACTATAAATATATTTTAATAAATAATATTATTTTATTATTAAAGTTAATTAATAATTTTTAAAAAAAAATCGGTTTATAAATATCAACAATTTATTAAATTAATATATAAATATAAATAAATATCGTCACTTGAGATTGAGCCATTAACAAGTAGTTAAACTCATTTAACTATACTAGTAAATGTCAGTTGAGCTTCTCCATCCACCCCAAATTAATTTAATTAATTATGTAATAGAAAAGTAAAAATAATATATTAAATAATTAAGGAATAAAACGAATATATATAAAAAAAAGCCAAGAGCACCACCAGTGCTCTAAAATAATAAAATCATCTAAAACCAAAACATTAATGTAAAGAAACCACACAATGAGAGCCACCCCCTCTCCCAAACGCGAATCAAGAAGGAAAAATACAAGTCAAAATCCAACCAACAAACACCAAAACTAACAAGGAAAAAGCCAACCATCCACAAACCTAATCTATTTACCAGCCACAAGTACATCATATATCTTCTAGAGAGAGCAAGTTAGAGTAAGAACAACTCGGCCAGTTGACAAAATAAAAGAAGGGAAGTTGGCCAACCAACACATCCCTAAACACCTAACAATTTGAGCAGGTCCAATTTCAAGTCAAGAAAAGAAACGACAAAATCGAGAGCATAGGCACGAATCCACTTCCAAATAAACTAATAATTGAAGACACCTGGTGATTAACCTTCAAGTTAATCTGTCTAAAAATAAGTTTATTCCACATATTTCAAGTAGCCTAGATCATAGAGTTCCAAATAGAGACTAGACCTTTAGACGATAGGTTCCCCTTCCCTAAACCCAAAAACTATTAAAACACCCATAAGATTGTCATATGCAAAGGATCTAGTCTCCCCGCCCACCTAAACACCCAATACCAAATGACAAAAGCAACCTCGCACAACACAAAAAAGTGGTATGCCAACTCCACCTAACCACCATACAATGCATACCTCACACCACCACCAGTCAACACAATTTGACACCTAAAAAGATTGTGCATAGTCGATGATCTAGCTTGAATCAAGTACCCAAAAAAACATGACCACTTTAGAAGGTGCCTAACTCATCCAAATCCTAGAAATTCCCTAAAGGACTGCATCAGACCTATTCTATAGCCAATCGAATCGAGAATTAAGGTAATCGTAAGTGGCTTTCATTGAGAAGCCACCTACTATGTCTGGCTTCCAAACAAAAATATCATCCTTACCAAACCTTACAAGGCCAACAAGGAGACCAAGTAAGGACTCTAGAAGATCCTACTCCCAAGCCATAAGAGGGCGCCTCCAAGAGAATCTCCATGTGAATGCATTTTCCTCTTAGATAGTTGTTTTGCATGATGTCAAAACTAGGATAGATTTAGCTTTTATATACATTAAACGGTATCTCTAGGTCATTGTGTGCACCCTTACATTAGAGGTCTTAGAATGCATCTAGAAAATGTTTGAAAAGGTTGTGAATAGGTATCATGCATTAAAAATCAATTTTTACATGAAAATTAGTTGCATGTGTCGACACATTCATACTATGTGTTAACACATCTAGATCAATAATAAAGCTTGTGGGCTCTTTAACTATGTGTCGACACAATGATCTCATATAGGTCCACACATGTCATTAAAAATAAACTTTTGCATAAAAGACGGTTGCATGTGTCGACCCATCCATTCTATGCGTAGACACATGTACTGTTGTTTTAAAGCCTGCATCACATATAAAATTTATGCTTAAATCCTACAGCTTATACATCGACATATATATCCCATGTGTTGACACATGTATTGTATTTTTAAAGTCTGTACCTTCTGTTTCTTTGCATCGACACATGACCTTCAACAGGTCTACTTGTGTTATTACATGTGTCGACACATGACTTATATGTGTCGGCATATCCTGTAGTTTTTCTCATAAATTACATTATTTTTTAAACTATTAGGTTTCTCTTTTTCCTCCAACTTCTACACCTATATATACTTCATACATGCATCGTTTTCAACTTTATGAAACTATACATACATACAAAATATGGCATCACCTTCTATCTTACATTTATGCATAATAACAAAAAAGTACACATAATTATTCATTATTTGGGTTCCATCTAGATTTGATTGATAACATTCAATTTAGGTTGATTGTAATTTAAGGTCGGGTTGAGAATTTTAGGGATTTCATCCGAAAAAACCAAATGTTTATCCTCCAATATCGTTGTGGATTTGGGGGTTATTTTAATAAGAAAACTGAGCTGGGGTTTTCCTTTAAGATCATTTGGATTTGAAGTATTTGGAGAAGATTATGCAATTCTGGATTCGACCGAGTGAAGAGCTTTCAAGACAGTTGGTCTTGCAAAAGAGTAACATGAGACAATGAATCAATTGGTGTTAACGTGCGGCTTGGTCGAGTTAAAGATCAAGGGGATGAAGTTTGAGAAAAACACAAGAAATGGGGGTTTGAATCGGGTTTTCAAAAACTTTTTGCTTAGAAATACTATTCACACAAACAATCAAGATATGCAAGCTAAGAAACAAAATTGACACAATTGGTTTATACAAGTTCACCTTAAACAATGCTACTCTTGTCCACCCGCTAAGGTGATTTCTCCTTCATAAAGGACTTAATCGACTAATCGTGAAAGACTAAAAACAAACGTCTAAGTGTTAGAAAACAATGTATCCCTCTCAAGTATACATACTAACACATAGTCACTTGAGGAAAACAAATCTCAAAAGATTTACAATAGAAAATGTTTACAATAGTGCTTCTAGAGAAGCAGATTTAACACAACAATAAAGAATAAATGTTTACACACAAATTTGAACAACAACTCTTTGTGTTTTGACTGAAAGCAAATTTTAAAACCAAAATGAGCATCAACTCTTTGTGTTTTGATTGAGAACAAATGTTAACACAAAAATAAGCAATAACTATTTGTGTTTTGATTGAGAAAAAATGTTAACACAAAAATGAGAAACAACTCTTTGTGTTTTGATTTTATCTTAGAAGAATATTTCTCACGTGGATATCTTGAATATTAACTTCTTCCTTTTTAGTGGTGTTGTTCCAACTTCATTTTTCAATTATTTTCCATTCATTTGTTCTTCAATTAAATAGTCATTCATTTATATAAGATTCAAAATGTAGACCGTTGAGAAGGACAAAATGTTACTTTCTTTTCCAACTTCCATAACGGAAGTATGAGACCGTAGGAGACAAGAGCACAACAAATATTTGATCGTACATATGTTTTCACCATAGTGGGATAAGTATTATATTCTTGTACTATTTCCTCTTGTGCAAGCTTTCTTGATCTTATCTTCTAATGAAATACTTCTGATCTGAAGTAATGATAAGTTCAGATAGAGATCATGTTCTTGTTCTTGTCTTCTGATGAAATACTTCTGATGTGAACGATGATTAGTACAGAAGACATCACATTGTAAGAGTCTTCCAAGATTACCAGAGTCTTTAGAGTCAAAACCGTGTCTTCAGAGCTGAAAGAAAAAGCTTATCTGAGAAACAAATCTTGACTCTTGAGCTGGAAGAAGAAGCTTATATGATAAGCACATCTTGATTTTTGAGATGGAAGCAAAAGCTTATCTGAGAAACTCATGGAGACCCTTTTCTAGAAAATATTCAACATTCATCAAAACTGGTGATGTTTCTTTAGAAGCGGATGCAATAGTTCTGAAATTTCTCTGGCATAGGAAACACATGGTAATATTGATATTCCAACATCAGAACAATGTCTAGACAGCTGTTACAACATTTGATTTGACATCCTGAACAGACTTATAAAGTTACAACAGATATTGAAACTTAAAATGTAGAATGATAAATAACATATAGAGTTGTTAACCAAGTTCGGTGTAACATCACCTACATTTGGGGGCTACGAAGCCAGGAAGGAAGTCAACTATTAGTAGTATTAGTTTAAAGCTAAACAATCTCAGTTTACAACTTTTCACCTAATCACTACCCAATGCAACTTCTTCCTAGGAACCTCCTAAATATGAGAAATCATAACTCACTTCCTAAATCACCTCAGTGAAATCTAATAGTCCCAATCCCAGTGACTGTATCGAGTACAATTCACCAAGAAGATCATACTTCCATTACAATACTTAGCCAAGACTCTTGATTAATAAAAGTACTTGGATTTGCATAAAAGCTTCATCCAATAATAATACTTAACTCGTTTC